ACCCCAAGGCTGGGATCTAAACTGCCCTACCCCCCCCCCCCGAGGAACCTGGCTGAGGGGTCCTGGCTGTACCTACAAGCGCTGCTTTGACTGTGTTCCTGTCGTCTAATAAACCTTCTGTGGTACTGGCTGGCTGAGAGCCCCAGTGAATCGCAGGAAGAGGGGTGCAGGGCCCTGACTCCCCCACACTCCGTGACAGGGGGCACCAGCCTAGAATTCCCCACGGCCCCAGCACATGGGTCCTGGTTCATCCCCTCCCCGGGAACACGTGGGGCCTCAGCTCCCATGCAACAGGGCTGGTTCAGCCTCCAGCCCCACTCCCCCAGCAGCTGGCCCTGGCTACCTGGGAGGGCCCTGCCGCCCCCCGCGCCCAGCCCCCTTGCTCTGCTGTGAGCTGCTCCGGGCCAGGTGTCTCCTGCAGCTGAGCCGGGGTCCCGGCTCAAACGACAATGCACCGTGGGGCAGGGCTGCAGGGTTTGACATCCCTGACTGCCCGGAGCCGGAGCCCAGGGTGGGACGCCAGGGCAGCTTGTCCCCAGCCCAGCCAGGGCGCCCTTCCCCTGGCCTGCAGCCACGGTGGCTGGCAGGAGCAGAGACAGGACACTGAGCTCCAGGGAGCCGCCGCAGAGCCAACTGGGCCCCTCCCAGTGCTTGGCCCTGCCCTTTCCTGTCCGGGGAAAGCAGGAGCCCTGGGGCCCAGCCCCACAGCCCCTCTCCGCAGGAGCCTGCTGCCCCCCCACGTGGCTGCCCTGACCCCAGGGAGGATTGAGCCGGGGGGAACAACGAGCCCTGCCCCCAGCTCAGGGATGGCCCCCCAGGGAGGGGGCAGCCTCCGGCCTGGCCCAGAGCTGGCACCAGCCATCAGGGGCCTCGGCTCAGCCCCAAGTGCCAGCCTCAGGGGTGCTTGGCAGGAGACACGCCCGGCTCTCAGCGATCCCACCGCTGCCAGAAGAGATCCAGGAAGCCCAACAGCCACGGCCCTGCCCCGAGCCCATGTTAGGGGGCCAGGCCAGCCCCCCGCCCCTCACTCAATACAGGTGCCCCCACCAGGGCGCAGCTCCCACAGGGCAGCTTCAACTCCATTTATTAAGAAATTAAAAAAAAAAATTCAGAACCCCCCACATGCCCCAGCAGAGTGGA